TCCTCAACCTGTCACTGAAATCAGAATGAGATACTAGACAGTTTCACAGGGAGCATGCACATTCCTGAGCAGCCAAGGAGGCAGAAATAAATTAGGTGGAATTGGGATAAAAACCAGCAAATGATACTACAGGATGAAACAGGGAAGAAAAAGATATTTGGGGAAAAAATTGTTGCCCTATCTCACTACAGGATCATTTCAAGCTGTACATCTTGGAGTGCCATCAAAGGATTCTCAACTAATTTTTCAAAAGAGCAAGTTGACCATTGCTTATTAAGGCTCAAATGTCATAAAGTATGTTGAAACAATAATTTAGAAGCTCCACACCATCAGAACATGAAAGCCTCATTCCCTCCTCAGTTATTAGCAAACAAGGGAAGCGAAGATAGAAAGGGAATGAGAAATTATATGAGAAACCAGTGATGTTTTGCCATTAAATTCATTCTTAGCAAGCAGTAGCCTAAAGAAAGGCTATTATCAGGTAGTTGCTGCAGTGGTAAATGATCAATGTTGAGGTCAGCACTTAAAACAGAATTAAGATCAATCCCTTGCAAACTGTAATAACTAACACTTATTATTTTATTCATCTGTCACAGCACAGCTTTCTTACATGCATTAAAGAATCAATCCAAATGTATTTTCGAGTCTCTGATGACGCCTCTCACCATGTTATTTCATTTCTGCTAGCCTCTTATTCGCTATCTTTAATGAGCCCTGTGTCTTATATGACTCCTGTTTCTGCTGTGACTGAAAGTCTTCTACCATGCACCCCTGAGCTTCAGCAATGTCCAGGAAAGAGACAGGATGAAAGTCCCCCTGCCTAAATAACTTCAGTATCTTCAGTCCTCACAGTCTCTGCTGTCACAAGACAAGAGAAAGCAAGTTCCAGTGAAAAGGTAAGGAATAAACTGCCCTTCTTTTCTATGGAAAAAGGGCAAATGACACTTAATTGCTGAAACCTAGTAAATTTCCCAATTCAGACAAATCCAGAGCAAGTTACAAAATCCCATGCTAAAACTTGTAGTGTTTTCACCTCCCCAAAAGATGAGAGCAGCAATGGAAACTGCATTGCCTACTCACAAAGCAAACTCTTTCACAATCTCTTAACTTGTAAAGTTCTCTGGTTTTCTGACATCCAATACTTCTCAAGCACTTTCTTAGTTATACAGTTAGCAAGTACTCTCGAAACATTTTAGCAGAAGTATACTATAAACTATTTCAAATGTACAAATGTATTTTTAAAAGATTTTAGACCTCAGTGGAAAGTGAAGTGAGAACAGAAAGGACAATTTTGTTTTCATAGCATCTCATTCCTTACCACTGACAGGAGTGGGACAGGAGTGCAGATAAAGATTTAAATGAAGATCACTCGCAGATTCAGAATTTGTGATGCAGAACTCATTATAGGCAAGCTATTAAAAAAACATCTGTTTTGAGTCAATGGTGATCAGCAGTGTGCACTGGACTATTTATTATGTAGAAATCAAGATAAGAGAAGCCCTGAATTCACAGTAAGAAAACCAAGTATCATTCAACTTCTGAAAAATTCAGATTACTGAGATTCCTATCTCCCATTTCATTCCTCCTTGGTGTGTTACTCTGTTGGTTCCACTAAGGAATATAACAAACATGAGGCCTACTTAAAATGTGTTGAATGATGCAAAAAAAGAATTCTCCTTCTCAAATTCCTGTCCCACCCAAGCCCCTATTAATTATCAGAAAAAAACCCCAAAGCAATACTTTACAATTACTCAGTATTCCAAGAACATGAAAGAGTTTCAAGGGAACTTCAAAAAACAGTATGCATTCCTCTAACCCTTTCTCCCCTTTTCATCTGCTTCAACCTCTTCAGTCCATAGTTGTCTTTTAATATTTTTGTCAAGTAGTAGGAGGACAAAATTCATACTTTGGGCTATTTCTCTGCTTACGATAAGCCAGTTCCAGAAGAACTGTCATGACCAGCAAGTTCTCAGCTTGTTGTAGCTTGAGAGAGTCAGGAACAGAGAAATTAAATCTATATATTTCGTGACTGAAAATGTTGCTACAACTCTCACATTCTTGCCTTTATGTCTTTCTGTCTATCTGAATTATAGATCTTCAAGTTCAAGTGGCCCTCTCTTTTGGGCCACTAACCTCTAAAACAAATCAGCACAGAAGAGTGTTTGAAGAGAAAAATCACTGGTGAACATTGCAAAACATTAAAAACCCCTGAGCTTCCACAACACTCCCAAAACACAAGCTAAGTCACTATTGCCCTTGAAAGTGTGAGATTCTCTAACATCAGTGGGACTATTCAGATGCATAAAGTGGGCAAAACTGAAAACTGAGTCCCAAGCTTGAAGGTGATGTTTTTTTCTGCAGTTGTACACAAGGCTATAATTGTATTAACAGACCTGCACCACCTAAGCAGTAACAAATATATGTTCTAGAAAAGAACATGAGAAAAAATATTTGAAAACACAAGAACCACAAACACAATTTACCAAGAGGCTTTCAAATATGGCATTTTCAACTGCCCTCTTATTTCTAGATGTGAATATTTTAAACCAGTAACAAAGTTCCTAACTGTGCTCAAATACACCTGGTAATTTACAAACATATGGCTAATGTCTCAGAGCACTAGTCTTCAGTATTTGTATCTTCTAAATCAAAGAGGATAAAAATTATTTTAGAACATCAAACATGACTTTTCTATGTAATCATCCAGGGAATGCAGTGTAACAACAGCAGAAGGAATACTGTCAGTAAAAACTTGTCTATTTTACACTTGCTTTACCAATGAAATATTTTAGAAGCCTGTGTACTATAATATTCCACAGGTACATCATGAAAACTTTATGATCTCTATGAGATAAAATAGTTGGGGAAAAAGAAAGTCCTAAAGTATCACCAGACAAGTCAACATGCTTTCAGTCTTTATAATTCATTACCTTCATTTTGACAATTTATTATAAGTTTTAGAAACTACATTAATCCAGATTTTATTGTATTGACAAACTTGGAAAACCACTTTTCAACTTTTCTGACAGGAAGCCCAAATAATGTTCTGTGTGGTTTCCAAATGCATATTCTCTAAATACACGGAAGATAAAACTGAATCTAAAGCAAAATTATCACAAGACTTTCACGAATTTCTTATCAGCTTTTCCAAAACAAGTCACCAATATAAATACAAATACTGCAAGCTGCACATCAGATGGGCTTGTCAGTCTCTCCTCCATGCAGGGAATTTAGCTTCACAGCTGAGCCATGTACACTAAAGCATGGATTCTCTTAAGTACCTAGGGCAAAATCCCTTTTTGTTTGTTTTGCATGACTGACGCAGGTTAACAATTATTTCAAACACTACTCTTCTGAAAAGGTCTTTATAATCTGTAATGAGAACTAAGGGAGTAAGCTCTCAGGACTTGGTTTCCCTTTCACCTATAAGGTATTAATGAAACAATATTTATCCTATTCCTATAGGATGGCAAACACACAACTGTTATGTCACTGTCTACTCTGTTAATGAGAGTGAATTTTAACATCAAATATGAATAGTCTTGAACTTTTCAAGACTACAGAAGGTATTAAATTAAATTAGTAGTATACTAATTGAGGCAGTATTACAAGTTCATTCCATATCACATTTTACTTTACCTCAATCATACTATCATCTATTCTGCTTTGAAAACATACATTTAAGGTCTAAAACTGAACAAAAACATATCCACTAACTCTAGAGACAGTAAAGACAGAAGTTTTATATGCCTGTATAAAAAAAATCACCCAAGAATGCCAGGTGCAATAAATAACATTGTCCTGTATACCTTATCACCTCACTGATATTTACAAGGTAATTAACATGTTGTGAAGTACAGAGGAATTTAAGCATGAAGTTTGCCACCACTGGAATTTGCTGTTATAGCAAGTAAGACTGAGCAGCAGGCCTTACACAGCACATGATGCTCGTCAAAACTTTCCTCTGCAACTTGCAACCAGCAAGCTTCGCCACAACCACCTTTTCTAAGTTCTCCTGAGAAATATAAACCAAGGCCCTCATTTATAATTCAGTGCTGCTTGTTTCATAAATTGATAGTGTCTTTTAGAAGTTGGTTTGCTTTTGTTTTTTTACCTAATAAGACTGTACTGTTTCCAGTTGCAACACCGTATTTCATAATATGCACAACGTTTTGGGGTTTAATTACTTTTCAGCACCACTTCGGACAAAAGATACGTTTTGCACTAGGTATCCTGCGCGCCTGTGATCCAGCCATTAAAAACAGTCATTGAAGCCGAGGCACAGAGCCAGCATCCGTGTCCAGCCGGCAGAGCTGCCCCGGGCACTCCGGGACGAGCAGCCTTCGCGCAGGCTGCTTCACTGGCTGAAGCACTTCCACAGGCTGAGTTTTGCAGAGCTCAGCCCCGGCAGGGGCAGCGAACACGGCGGGCTCCGGCCGGCGGGGGCCGAGCGGATTTGGGCTCTCTGAGGCCTAGCGAGCACGCGAGGCCTCCGGCAGCCCCGGCTCCTTCCCCGGCAGCCCCGCACAGCGCTCCGGGGAGCGGGGCACACGGGAGGGCCCCGCGCCCGGGATGCTCCGCCAGCCAGGAGGGGGGAGGCGGCCCCGCTCCGCAGCGCCCGGGGGAGAGGGAGGGCGAGGAGCCAGCGCCTCCGGTTTGGGAGGAACTCGCAAACTTTGGTACCTGTCGGGAACTCCCCAAATGCCAGCAACCCCCGGCCGCTCCCAGAGGAACTCTACCGGCTTCTCCCTCCCTTCCCGCCCCAACACCAACTCACGCCACAGGCTTAGAAACAAGCCTGTGCCCGTGCCTGCGGGAAGGAGGGCACGGCGTGCCCGGCTGCAAGCAAGGGCTTCTCCTGCCCCCCCGCTCCCCGTCCCGAGAGGGGATCCTCTGGCGCGCCCCGCGCCCGTCCCTCCCGGCGGGGCCGCTCCGAGCCCACCGCCCGCCCGGGCCTCGCCGCCTCCCTGCCCGCGCTCCACCTGTCCCGGGGGTCGATCCAGCTGGTCTGCTTGGTGTTGTGGTCGATGTAGAAGACTTTGCCGTCGTAATCCCTCGCCTCCTCCCAGCCATCGGGTAAGGGAAGCTGCCCATTCCCCGCTTTCCTAGGCATGGTCGGTCGGCGGGGGTAGCTGCTCCATAGGGACAGAAAGAAAGACGGGAAGCGGGAAAAGCCCCGACCCGGGCCGGGGAAGGGGCCGGGAGCGGGGGCTCGCGGGAGCCCAGGGAAGCCCTCTGCCGGGTCTCAGTCCACCATGCCCGGGCTGCCGCCTCGCCCGCGCCGCGGCGGCGGGTCAGGGCTGCCGGCGGAGCCCAGCTGCCGTCTGGGCGCGGGGAGCCCGGCTGAGCCCCGGGCGGCCGCGGCCGCCGCTCATTAGCATGAGATTAGCATCCATCTCATCTGCATGCACATTCCTCCCGCCGCATTCCTCAGGGTTAACCCTGGCCGCGCTGCCCGCCGGGCTGGGCCGGGCAGGCCCCGGCCGCGGATGCGGCGCGGAAGCGTCCGGCGGGGCAGCGCGTAGGGCCGGACGGCGGGCAGGAACGGGGGAAAGGCTGCGAGAGGGGCCCGCCTGCTTCCATCGAGCTTTGCCCGGGGGCTCGGCCGGCGTGGGGGCAGGAGACAGCCCCCCGCGGGGGACGGGCGGTCTCGGGGCGCTCCGGCCGCGTCCCCGCAGCCCCGGCCCCGCGGTCACCGCCGCCCCGCGGGGAACAGCAGCGGCCCGGCATGAGGGACACCGGCGCGTCCCATTCTTTGTCTGCCAACTTTGCCGCGGCCCTGCATCGGGTGACGCAGGAGGCTTTGTCGCGGGGCATGTCCTGGCCCTCGGAGCGCGGGGAATGTGCCCCGGGAAAAGGCAGCTTTGCCGCTGCCTCCATGCCCGGAGTCGGGACGGTGTCGAGTTCCCTCTCCCAGCGGTTCAGGTTCCGCCAACCTCCCTTCGCATCCTTGTGAACTCTTGCTAAAGTCCAGTAAGGTTCAAGGGTTCCTGAAAAGGACCTTGATATTTAAAATAACTGAGTTCAAAATTTAAATACAAATAGGAACCCCTCTTTCACCATGGAAGTACCTAAACTAAGTGTCTTTAGTTTTGTTTTTGTGTTTCTTGCTTTGGTTTTTTTATAACAGAACCACCAGTGAAGCATATGTGTACGCCGCGGGTGCCCTGGACTTGTGGCCTGAAAAGCAAGCAGCTAAGTCGCATTAAGTATAGACACCAGGTGTGAGTTACTGAGTGTTTATCTCTCATTTGCTATAGGAGAAGAGTACCCCAGGCTGGTTACCATGGTTCAGCTGATAGAAGGTAATTTAATGAGCTCTATTAATTTGCATGTGTATCTGATTCCAAGATCTGGCACCAGAAGTAGAGCATCAATGGGGGAATATGACTCTTTAGGTTAGCAGCTGGAACTCCTAGGTAACTTAAGTCCCTGTTTCCTAGAATGTTTTATTTCTTTTTATTTGAAGTTACTGGTTTTAAGTAACAAGATTTTCCTGGGAGAGGGAGTCTCAAACCCAGAGCTGGTTTTGTGGTGATTTTTTTGTTTGCTTGTTTTTTTGTTGGCTTTTTGTTTTGTTTTTTTGGGGTTTGTTTTGTTTTTGTTGTTGTTGGGGGTTTTTTGCTGTTTTTTTTAGGGTTGTTTTTGTTTGTTTTTGGGGTTTTTTTAATGTCTGTTTATCTTCTCCATTATAGCTTTCTAGTATTCAGCTCTATAAATTATTCTTCTTATTAAGTACACTTATTCTACACTTATTAAGTACTGGACTTATTCTGTGCATAGCAAGTTTTTGGATTCCACTTCAGAGGCCACATATCTGACAAGCACTGAAGTAACTCATTTGCAGCTATCTACTTTTGGGTCTGCTCCTAAATAGAAAAATGTACCAGCAAGATATTTTTTAAATTTAGCTAATTGCCAGTCTGGTACAGATAAGAACTGCATTATTTTAGTCATTCTACTTATTTTATTCTGCTGTCTTGTCTCCAAATGACCCATATGCCTCCCTCCTCCAGACTTTTTTGAAGATTTTGACGTCTAAGGTAATGTGCAGTGAAACTGTACTTCGTACATGAAGTAAGGTCCTGGTAGTTACCAGTGGAGAAAAACTGAGCTGTGCTAACTTCTAGATATCCATAAGAGTTGAGCTGCTTAGGGAATGCAGCAGGATCATTGCCTATTAAAGAGACAGATGCATTTCTTTTCATTGAGGATATTGTTTCAATGAGCTTTTTGGCTTGTAAGGGCCTGTTTTCTTGTCCAGCAGTAAGAAACCGTCCCCACATTTACCAAGCATTTAGTTTGTGTCCTTTTAAACAGTCTACTCAATTTTATAATTTGTTTATAGGAGTTGCTCTATAGTGAGAAATTACATATGGCAGTTGCGGGACAGGATAAACTGAATTTCTTTTTCTGTTTTAAAGTTCATTTTGCATTATCAATAAGACATTTCATTATGTAAGTTGATACAAATCTATAGAGGATATACATTTCTTTCTGAAACCAACTGCCAGTTACTTCTCTTTGGCATTAACCAGGAGCTTTTATAACAAGCCTTTTATATAGCCTTTTTCATCTTGAAAAAGTAGGCCTGTTATACAGCAGCACTCCTGTACTCCTAGTCCCTCAATAATTCACACAAAAGGAAGAATAAAATTAGAAAATCTGTAATATCAAGACAAAACTGGAACATCATTTGTGTCAATACTTCCTCTGAAGGTAGTCACAACACCTGAGGGAATGCTCAGTTCCTACTCTCTGTCACCACCAAGGCAAGCAGAACCACATCTTTGATTATTGGTCAGATGAGATCCACATGGATGTGGATCTGAGTTATAACCATCTTTACCTATGTAATACTTCTCATAAGAAGACAGCAATATTTTAATTCTCATAAATAAATGGAAATTGTCGTTCTTAAATAAATGGAAATGAATACACTGAAGTCATTGCATAATTGTCTAATTTTTATGTATATGCTTGTGTGTCTATATACAGATGTGCTTACACTGAAGTATAAACTGCTGCATGGTGTTAGGCTCTCCCCTTCCTCCCTCTATTTTCCATTATTTGAGTACTTCATTGTGTTTCTATCCATTGGTAGAGTCTACAATCCAAAATGCCAGTTTAAGACTACTTAAGCATGACAGTGCTTGACATCAGATGGACAAAAAGTAGGTGTTATTTGTGTAAACAGACCTTTAATATTGCCAGTGAGAACGTATGGCTTTTTGAAGGTATTTTTTCAAGTATACCTCCTGTATTTCAACTGATAACCTGCCTAGCATGTTGTGCTGACATTGTCAGCTGACAGCATACCACAGATTGTTTGCCTTAATTACATAAGCCAGCATAGTTCAGAAGATGTAAGCATGCTTTATTCAAAACACAGAAGGGTTCCTATGAATGAGGTGTCCAAAAGCACAGAACAATCTAGCTATGGCATGATTTAAGTATCTGTCAGAAAATATGATAAATAACAAGAGGTAGTCAATGTGAAAGAGCTAATCATTCCTATCTTTTGCTTTGCATATGCATGTTTAAGTGGCTTGAAGAAATTCCCGTGGTAAGTAGTGCATAAAGAACTGAGCTAAAGGAAGTTAGAATCATAACTGTTTTGTGTTAACTAGAAGAAAAAATGTCTATGTGAAAATTGAGAACACAAGTATGGAAATGGCTGTATCCAAAGGAGGTCTTCAAAGCTCTATACTTGCATCCTGTCACATAACAAGAAACATACCCACTCCAGTCTTTGCTAATGTAGTTAATATCCTGGTACTCTCCGCTTGCTTCTTCTTTCATAATAAGGCTGTCTCTGGAACAGACTGTGATCAAATAAACCTGTGTTTGTACCTTGTCCTTCCTTAATAGGAGACTCCCTTAATTTGATGATCCACTGGAGTGTCATCCCTGGTGAAATGTACAGCTGTTACAGCTCTGACTTGTACTATCCACAAATGGCTCTGAAGCAGGAGCTGCAGCAGTTTCCCTGAAAATTTCCATAGTTCAGCTTTTTGCTGCTTGCACACAGATTTTGAGTATAGAATGAATTGTGAAGTATGGCAACAGAATTAATTTCTAGAAGCATCTGACAAAAATATTTGAAAATATATATTGGTTACACTGGGGTTTTTTTTGAACACTTAAACTGCCAAATATCTTCAGTGAGTCTGACTTCTGTCACATGTAGCTACTGTAGAACTCTAAAAAGTAATCAGTATTTTCAGCATTATAAATATTTGTTAATTTAATAACAGTGAATTTTATCTGACAGCTATGTCTTCAGAGAAAAAAGCACACACCAAAAAATTCTCCCATATGCAGTGAGATTTTTAGTTTTAAAAAGTGTTTTAAAAGTCCTGCAAAGAAAAACTGTATACATGCATGAGGGAGGAAAGGAGGAGGAGTGCTGCTTTTCCTGTTGTCAGCTTCTGATGCATGTATATATCTGACAGTAAAAGGTCTTTGTTTCTGGTTGAATTTATGATGAAGGTCTGCAGAATCGATGGAGCCAGATAATGTTTATGCTCATCCAGCTTTTCTTGTTATTCCAAAGCCTGCTCTATCCACTTACATACATTTGAACAGCTTGCTGCGTAGACAGTTCTACAAAGATTTCCCAGAGTATCAGTGAAAAAAGACTATGCCAGGTTCTGCTTCAAATTAATATACTAGCCCTTTTTTCCCCAGAATTTTGGCCTTTTTTTGTCTTTTTTTTTTTTTGCTTTCAGGCATGTATAGGAGAAATTACTGAGCAATTACTTGTTTTCAGTCAAGACATACTATGAATCTGAAAGTAAGCACAGAGAATGATTTTAAATTAGTGTTAGTTTGATTAAAAGTTTAGAGTAGAAAATGAAAAGTTTAGAATGGAAATTATGTGATATGAGCTTTGCCTCAAAGTTAGCTGTGGAAATATGAGCAATGACTTCATGGTAAAAGCTCAAACTCACTCCAAGCCACTCATTAAACTGACTTAGCATTCAATTCTGTTAACTCTGATTCATAATTCATACTGCTGAAATTTCTGTGGACAAAGAGAGGAGAAGATGGAGAATTTTGGTTGTTCCAAAACCCCTAGGACTGATGAGGTCCAAATTAGTGTCTGATGAATATTCCCAAAAAATTCTTGATGCAGTCTTGGTATTAAACCTCCCATAGTAACAGTCTCACTGTATCTTTTGTGTATTTCTGATACTTGTACAAACATTTAGGTTTCCTACGTTTTGTCATATCTGTGGAATTACTCTGTGTATTCACTGCTGCATAATGGCTTTGGAAAACCACAAAGCATGTCTGATTAGCCAGGAAGGGTCCCAAGAGCCTGGTCTTCTCTTTTGGCTGCATGTAAGAAAGAAGCTGGCCAGCAATAGAGGATTACTGCTCATTGGCATGAAGGGAAGGATGGAGGAAATTCTCAATAACAGCTCCTTTGGCAGTGAATTTCTTGAAGTATTTAAGGTGTTTTATGTACTATTATTCAAGTTCACAGGTTTACAGAGCTAATGCTTTTAACAGTCCCTCTCTTCTGTTGCAAGGAGTTAAGTGTTCCCACCTCAGCCAGAAGAAAGCACTTAGTGTAAATTTGCTGTGTTGTATCTAGGGGGGGAAGCAGACAAAACATGAAATGTCATGTTTTAGCAGTAGCATCCTGAAGTACATTTCTTCTGTGTATTATCCATGCACTTTCAGGAACTTTTCCCCTTTTACACACTTTTCATATCTCTTTTTTCCCCTCAAAAATGCAGTTTCTTTGCATGAATCTGAAGTATTTTGATGCCTGACTTAGCCAATAACAAAGGAATCTCGATCCTATGTTATTGCTAAGTGAGGCTAAAAACCATGCTGCAAAAATAAAATCAATCTGTGCAAATTTTTAGCAAAAATGGAACTGATCCATCAATACTATGATTTAGCACTTCTAGACTGCTAGAGATGTTGCTGAATTGTATGAATCATTCCATGGCAATTTTCATTCTAGTCTGGTTGTCCAAAACCCAGAATCCCAATGTTTGCACTTTTTGGAGGATTGAAACTATTTGAAGAACACAGCATGATATTATTATGTCCACTTTTCAGTGAGCATCAAAAAAAGAATTGTGTTAAGTGACATGATGGAGTAAAAAATACCTATATGAAATAGAATAGGTATTAGAATGTTGGGTGCTTTCAGCTCCTGAACTGAATCTATTGAACTGAATTATGTCAATTTTATGATTTCAGTACGTGGTCTCACAAATCCTTGGGATAAGCTTTATTATCACTAGAAAAGAAATAATTCATACAAACATTCATTTTTTTGGTA